CAGAGGAGCAGGAAGGCTGGCATTTCGGGCCTAGACCCTTCTTCAGAAATGATTTCTGAAGAAGGGTCTAGGCCCGAAACGTCAGCCTTCCTGCTCCTCTGATGCTGCTTGGCCTGCTGTGTTCATCCAGCTCTACACCTTGTTATCTCAGATTCTCCAGCATCTGCAGTTCCTATTATCTCTTCAACCAATGTCCGTTGACATTCAATAGCAGTACCATCACTGAATCCCCCACTACTAACATTCGGGGGACTGACATCGACCAAAAATGAAATAGACTAGCCATATAAATACATTGGCTACAAGTTCAGGTCAGAGGCTACAAATCCTGCAATGAGTAATTCACCTCCAGATTCTCAAGGGACTGTCAACATTGAGAAGGCACAAGTCAGGAGTGTGATGGAATACTTCCTGCTTGCCTGGTTAAATGCAGCTCCGACAACACTCAAGAAACTTGACACTGTCCAAGACATAGCAGCCTGCTTGATTGGCACCACATCCACAAACCTTCCCTCCTTTCATCACCAACGCTCAGCAGCAGTGTACCATCTACATGTTGCACTGCAGAAGTTTATTAAAGTTCCTTCGACAGCACTTTCTAAACACATGACCACTTCCATCTAAAAGGACAAAGGCAGCAGATAAGTGGGAACACCACCACCTGCAAGTTCCCCTCCAAGCCACTCACAATCCTGACTTGGTACTGACCCATAGTTGCTTGGAAAAAATCCTTGACCTCTCCCTTATAGCATTGTGGATCTACCTACAGCATGTGGACAGCATCCTCTCAAGAAGGCAGCTCACCACCACCTTCTCAAGGGCAACTAAGGATGGGCAAAGAACATTGGCCCACCCAGTGATGTCTACACCCCATGAATTAATAAAAAAAAAATTAGAGCACTGGAATTTGGGTGTTACATACTGATCTGATTAATCAACCGAAAACAGAGCAGGACTAAACAAGTTATTTTCAGTTTGGGAGGCCATGACCCCATTGGGATACAGGTATCTGTGGTTAGGCTTCAATAGTTCACAATCTACATCAATGACCAAACTTAATACTTCTAAATTTGTCAATAGCTCAAAACTTGGTGGGAATTTGAATTGTGAGGAAGATGCAAAGAGGCTTCAAGGGGAATTGGACTGGTTGACTGAGTGGGCAAGACCGTACCAGATGGAATGTAAATGTCGAAAAATATGAAGTTATCAATTTGTTTGTTAAAATCAGAAATGCAGAGTGTTTCTTAAATAGTAAGAGATTGGAAAGTGCAGACGCCAAAAGGGATCTGGTATCCTTGTACACCAGTTACTGAAAGCTAACATGCAAGTACTGCAAGCAATTAGAAAGGAAAATGGTACGTTGGCCCTTACAACAAGAGAGTTTATGTAGAGAAGGAAGAGATCTTGCTGCAGCTGCAACTGCATACAGCACTGGTAAGGCCACATCTGGAGGACTGTGTACAGTTGTGATCTTATTGAAGAAGAATATTCTTGCCATAGTTGGATTGCTATAGAGATTCACCAGACTAATCCCCGGGATGTGGATTGTCTGATGAAAGATTGAGGAGACTGGGCCTGTATTCCCAAAAGTTTAGAAGAATTAAAGGTGATCTCCCTGAAACTTACAAAATTCTTATGGGGCTTGATAGAGCTATTTCCTTGGCTGGGGTCTTAAATTCAGGGGACACAGTGTAAGTATAAGAGACAAGCCATTTAGGACAGAGATGAGGCGGAATTTCTTCACACAGAGATTCCCCTACTCTACTAGGCTGTGGTAACTCTGTCATTGAGTATATTCAATACTGAGGTTGATAGGATTTTAGATATTAAAGAGTCATAGAGATATACAGCACAGAAACAGACTCTTTGGTCCAACTTGTCCATACTGACTAGATATCCTGTATAAATCTAGTCCCATTTGCCAGCATTTTACCCATATCCCCCTTAACCCTTCCTAGTCATATACCCATCCAAATGCCTTTTAAATGTTGTAATCATACCAGCCGCCACTACTTCCTCTGGTAGCTTATTCCATACACGCACCACCCTCTGCATGAAAATGTTGCCCTTACATCCCTTTTATATCTTTCCCCTCTCATGTTAAACCTATGCCCTCTAGTTTGGACTCCCCCACCCTGGGAAAAAGACCTTGTCTATTTACCCTATCCACGCCCCCTCATGATTTTATAAATCTCTATAAGGTCACCCCTCAGCCTCTGATGCTCCAGGGAAAATCTTTTCTGAACCTTTCTAGTTTCACAATTTCCTGTATATAGGCTGAACCAATATCCTGTACAGTCACACAATAACCTCCCAACTCCTGTGCTCAACGCACTGACCAATAAAAGCAAACATACCAAACGCCTTCTTCACTATCCTATCCACCTGCAACTCCACTTTCAAGGAACAATGAACCTGCACTCCAAGGTCTCTTTGTTTAGCAACACTCCCCAGGACCTTACCATTAAGTGTATAAGTCCTGTCCTGATTTGCCTTTCCAAAATGCAGCACCTCATATTTATCTAAAAGTGCAAGAAAATGGGGTTGAATTGAAAGGTCAGCCATGATCTAGATCATGGTCTAGAATGGTGGAGAATGTTGAGGGGTCAAGTGACCTACTTCTGATTCTATTTGTTATGATCTTTAGAGCCACAGTATTAGCATCTGGGTTTCCCAATCAATCAGAAAGATCAGATAGATTTGGCACTTTATTCTATCAAAGGAAAGATTTTAATTACAGATGCCCAAACATGACTTAAAATGCTGAGCTGCACATCGATACCTAATGCTGCAGAAACCACATGAATGGAGAGGAGGCTGGATAGTTATTCCCACAATTAACTGGAGTGCTTGTTGTACAATCTAAGGAACTGATGTTTGCTGCGGACAGGAGGAAGACATCAGCTTCTCAGAGTTAGCAGGTGTGTGTGGAAGACATTATGGACTGTGGTCTCTGCAACCTGGAGATAGTGCATCAAGGGGATTTAAGACCTCAGGAGGATGGGAAAGCTAAGTAGCATTGCATCTTTAGGTGCCAAGATCCAAACTCTTCCTTTTCCAGAAATCCCCTGCATATCAATCATCTGAACAACTCACTCACTTTGCTGCTCCACTCATTCTCTCCAGGCACCTTCGCAAATCCCCACCAGGACAGTGAACTCCAGGACAGTCTGCTCTTTTTTGTCATTATTCACAAATCTACTGAGGGAAGTTCAATTATCACGATGTACTGTTTTTGTTATTTTCTCATACATTTATCAACATATTTGTCCTTTTACTTCCTTTTCACTAAATGTTGGCCTGTGGTAGACACTTAACAATGTGATTGAATCCTCATGTCCATTATAACAATCTTAATGGATTCTGTTTATTTGTTAAAAACCGAAAGAACTGAGGATCCTGTAAATCAGAAACAAAACCTGAAATTGCTGGAAAAGGTGAGCAAGTCTGGCAGCTTGTGTAGAAAGAAATTAGAGTTAATATTTCTGGTCTGGTGACCCTTCCTCAGTTTAGATGATGCAATCTGCTGAGCTTTTCCAGCAATTTCTGTTTTTGTTTCTGTTTGTTAGTTTCCATTTTTACTTCTGATAATTATTTCTGATTAAAGCATCACCACCACCAGCCCTTCTTTCTCACCTACCACTCTGAAATACAATATAAGCTGCAATATTTAACTGTCAGTTCTGTCCTGTCGGCTGTTTCCATTATCCCCATGACATCTATTGTTTCAATTTGAATTATTGTCCCCAATTCCCTCATCTTTTCCCTTTTCTCCTATGTATTGCTCTTCAGGAAATTTACTATGCACTTATCTTTCATTGCTATTACTTCATTTGCATTAGGTGTTACTGATTATATCTTCAGAATATTGACAACAGAGAAGATTTTCCACTGGCAAGACTGTTGTTATTCCAGCGTAAATAGGAGTTCTGCACAGGGACCTTGCAGAATCCTTTGAAAGAATTATCTGGGAAATTGATATTACCACTGGGCAATTTCTCTACACGAGGATCCCATCCAAAGTCTCCACAAAAAATGGAGACCTTGGATTTTGACAAAATTAAGTAAAACAGTTACTCAGGGAAGGTTAGACTATTAAATATATACGCCTTCCCAGTTGGCATCTTACCCTCTCAACACCCTAACATCCCATTTACCATATAGACATTTTTAAATAACCTATTCAGATGTATTATGACACACTTCCGCCTCCAATTGCTTAGTCAAACAGGCCTTTTCCCAATTTCAATATTTTTATTACAATAATAAAAAGATTTCAAAGAAAATGAGAAGGAACACAACATATTTTTAATGACCCCTAAGATTTTTCTCCTCGGTTGCTGACTTCAAGAGTAAACTTACAATAAATGTGGATCTGGGTGCCGCTCCTGTGTCAGTGTTAGATGGTGGTCCACATACTGACTGATAGTCATATGATTCCTTTCTCGTGTAGAATGAAGCATTATACAGTGCATTCATCAAGCTAGGGTCTACCTCACTGAAGAACATACCAATCTGAAGGATGGAAACAAATACAAAGTACATTTAGGAGCTTTTCCTGCATGATTAATGACATGAGAATAGTGTTATACTCAGACCCCAGGTGAAGTTCCCCAGTTGCAACAAAGATGACTTAAAAAGGATCCCCTCCCTTCTGAATACCTTTCTCCCAGACCCAAATGAACTTATGTTTTGAAAAGAACCAATTTAGCCAGACTTTCTTGAGTCAACAAAAAGAGTGAATTTATTAATTACTAAACATGAAAAGAACTAGTAACATCACATACACATAAACATAGATTACAAGTAAGAGATGTGTCCAAAAAAAAAGTCAGACAAAGATATACAGATCAGTCTCTGAATTGTTCACAAACAGTGGATAGTTGAACGCAGTGGTTGTTGCAGTGGAGGTTACTGACAATGTTGACTTTCAGGGTGTATTCAGGGTGAGAGGGAGTCCTTTTATTGTCCTGTTGTCTTTTGCCCGGCAACAAGCTAGTTGAATTCTAGCACTCAAGAGTGAGGGATTATTTTTACCTGCAACATAGGAGTGACTAGAGAACAATTCTTTGACTGTGGCCTTCACAGGATGCTAACATTCAAACTAAACTGGTAAACATGAGAAGCAATAATGTGGAGGTGCTGGTGTTGGACTGGGGTGGACAAAGTCAGAAATCACACGAAACCAGGTTTATTTGAAAACACAAGCTTTCGATCCTCAGTCCTTCTTAAGGTGTTAGAGAGAGGTAGTATCAGACACAGAATTTATAAGTAAAAGATCAAAGGTTCACACCATTGATGAGGATGCACTAAACAAACCCAAGATGCTCTTAAATCTTTAATCAGAAACACAAGAAGGTTCAGTCTCACCAACAGAGATGAAAGTGGCTTTATAACAAGTGCAGCGTCCTTGAAGTAAGTCCCTTAGACAGACACTCACCAGTTATCCACCAAAATGGAAAACCCAACTGATGCACCCTGACACAAACTAGTATTGTACCTTTAAAGACATCAAGGGTTATGTGGAGAAAGCGGGAATATGGTGATGATATATTGAATGACAGGGCAGGCTCAAAAAACCAAATGATCTACTGTTGCTCTAGTTTCTTTTTCTATAGCCAAATGAGCACTCACATGGTTGCAATGTATTGCAATCACATGTCCTAATGTATTCTTCAAAGGGATAAACACTGAATATATCTGCAGTTTGGGACATAATCCACACTTGCTGTTGGTGGCGGGAGGGGTGGTGGGAGGGGTGGCGGGAGGGGTGGTGGGAGGGGTGGGGGGGGGGGCGGGGGGGGGGGGGTGTGGGTGTCGTCAGCCCCTTAAAATCTTTGTAGCCACAACAGATCACAGCCCAGTCTGTTTGGAGTTTCTTTGACACCTTTAGGTATTAGGTCCAATTGTTCCCAAACAGAATTTGTGTCAGCCAGCCACTGTACTTAAACCAGCAGTTATTTTGTCTCTGCAGCAGTCTTCTTTTAAAAGCAATTTTGGAATTAAGGGCTAAAAACGCCAGCAGTATTTTGGAGTTCTGACCCAACAACTGCGACTCTCTGACTACCTGTCTGACATCAAGTTGTGGCTGTAAGCTTCAACTTCAAACTGCCAAGACTCTGCACCCCAGCCCTGGCTCCTACCCTAGGTCTGATTGTTTCCTTGATTGGGCTCAAAGATGTGTAGTCTTGGTATCCTGCTTTAACTGGAAGTTTAGTTTCAAAGACAAAACCCTTCCCATCAGCAAGTCTGCTCATGATATTAAGCCCTGTTTCACCATGACTGAAACCTTCACACAAATTCATCTTTTTTAAACCTTGCTTCTTCAATGTTCTCTTTAGCGCAACACTAAGCAAACACCCATTTAGCTAATCTTTCAGCATCCTTCTCCAAAGCTGCAGCTACGTATCAATTATATGACAAGATGTGGAGGTGCCGGCGTTGGACTGGGTTGGACAAAGTCAGAAATCAGATGACACCAGGTTTATTTATAGTTGCATGGGTTTATTTGAAATCACAAGCTTTCATAGCACTGCTCCTTTGTCAGGTGAAGGTGACTGCATTAAGATTTTGAGTTTAATTCAAGCTGTAAATGTAGGAATCAGGGTACATAGTTATTTGTCCAATCAAAACTAGAAGAGATCTGGGGTAAATGGTGTGGAATAGCATTATGGGTTGGGTGCTGAGGAGTGTGGATAACTGAGGAGGGAGGGACTATACATAGAAGATGCAGCATTCCTTTGTTGCAACCATGTGAGTGCTCATTTGACTATAGAAAAAGAAACTAGAGCAACAGTAGATCATTTGGTTTTTTGAGCCTGCCCTGTCATTCAATATATCATCACCATATTCCCGTTTTCTCCACATAACCCTTGATGTCTTTAAAGGTACAATACTAGTTTGTGTCTGGGTGCATCAGTTGGGTTTTCCATTTTGGTGGATAACTGGTGAGTGTCTGTCTAAGGGACTTACTTCAAGGACGCTGCACTTGTTATGAGATAAGGTCTGTAACTTCGTGAGTGTCGATTTCATACAAGGTCTATATAGTCCGACATCACTGGCCACATTAATTGAGCACATTAGTAATCCTGATATCACAGCTAAGATGGTATCCTTGCAGGCAGGGTGGCTAGGTCATTGGGACGTTTACAATGATAAGGGTTCCTGTTTGTGCTGCTGGAAGGTCTGTAATATCACTAAAGAAAAGGTGCTGGAGAAGCTGAAAGGTTTGAAAGTGGATAAATCACCAGATGAGCTACACTCTAGAGTTCTGAAGAAGGTAGCTGAGGAGTGATTAGAATTGTGTGTTACAATTTGGAAATCATTTGGTGAAGTAGTAATTAGAAGTAAATAATTTAAATATGATGTAGTCTGGTTTTAGAACATCTAGATCTGCTAAGAATGTAAGAAAAGGAGCAGGAGTAGGCAGAATGACCCCTGAATAAAATCATGACGGATCTTCTATGGTAACTCAATTTTCCCAACACTTTGCGATATCCATTGTTTTTAATTTTCTTAATTCTTTCATGGGAAGATATTGCTTATCACTCATTGCTCAGCCATTTCAGAGAGCAATTAAGAGTCAACCACATTATTGTGGTTCTGGAGTCACATGTAAGCCAGACTGGATTGCAAATTTTCTTCCCTAAATACAGTTGCGAACCAAATGGATTTGTGCTCTGCAGTACTGAGCTCTTGGCATCTAACCAGAAAGTATTTAGATTAATACTTGAAAAGCCATAGCGTATAAGGCTGCAGATCAAGTAGTGGGAAATGGAATTTAGTAGATAGGTGCTTGATGACCATTGTGGACCTGATCGGCCAAACAGTTTCCATGCTGTAATATTCAATTACTCCATAATGAATTAGTGTATTAACATAATCTTATTATGGGGGTGATAAACATTGCAATAGACTTCTGTTCTCATGGGTGTGGTAAGCAAGTGTTTAAGAATTCAACCAGTGAATTATTTAGTTAAGTATGGATGTGTGTTGCTGTCTTATTAGCAAAACTTCGGGCTAAATTCCGATGCATGTGAAGCTGTATAGGTTATCGAGGTAGTCAGAGGGCATAGGTGAGTGTAGTGGCCATCACTAAGGAAAAGGTGCTGGGGAAGCTGAAAGGTTTGAAGGTGGATAAATCACCAGATGGACTACACCCTAGAGTTCCGAAGAAGGTAGCTGAGGAGAGATTAGAACAAAAAACAAAGAACTGTACAGCATAGGAACAGGCCCTTCGGCCCACGATGTTGTGCCGAACATGACACCAAATGAAACTAATCCCTTCTGCCTGCCCTTGGTCCATTTTCCTCCATTCTTTTCATATTCCTTGCAGATTGGCATTGGCGGTGATCTTTCAAGAATCCCTGGAGTCAGGGAGGGTCCCAGAGGACTGGAAAATGGCTAATGTAACAACCCTGTTTAAGAAGGGAGGAAGACAGAAGACAAGAAACTATATGTCCACTAGCCTGGCCTTGGTTGTTGGCAAGATTTTAGAGTCCATCACAAAGGTTGAGATTGCTGAGTACTTGGAAGTGCATGGTAAAATAGGGCACAGTCAGCATTGGTCAGTGAGGTGAGAGTGGCGGATAAGTGGGAGAGAAGATGGACAGGTTGTGTCAGGTCAAGGGGCAGGGATAAGGACCAATCCCGACCACTGCCTATACGCACTCACCTATCACCATCCCGTCTAACTTCCCCAGCCCCAGCCCCACCCCTCCTCTCTATTTCTGAGGTCCCCTTCCCCTCCCCATTTCTGAAGAAGGGTCCTGACCCAAAACATCAGCTTTCCTGTTCCTCTGATGCTGCCTGGCCTGCTGTGTTCCTCCAGCTCCACATCTTGTTATCTCTGACTCCAGCATCTGCAGTTCTTCCTATCGCAGAGTCAGCATAGCTTTGTCAAAGGAAGGTCATGCCTGACAAATTTGTTAGAATTCTTTTATGTAACAAGCAAATTACAAAGGAGAGCCAGTAGACGTGGTCTATTTGAATTTCCAGAAGGCCTTTGACAAGATGCCGCACAGGAGGCTGCCAAGATAAGAGCCCCTGGTTTTAGGGGCAAGATACTGGCACGGAGAGAGGATTGTTAACTGGCAGAAGGCAGAGAGTGGGGACTAATGGCATCTTTTTCAGGATGGGAGCTGGTGACTAGTGGAATTGAATTGAATTAGGTTTATTGTCACATGTACTCACATGAGTACAGTAAAAAGCTTACAAGTCGTCTCTTATGGTGTCATCTTAGGTACAAAGCAGAAAAATAAGGAAAACAAAGTTAAAAAGTTAAACTTTACAGTCCTTCTTACTAAAAAGTGAACAAACAAAGAAATACAGTTAACAGTCTAACATCATAGTCCATAATCGCCTGGCCATGCTGGGCTTGACCTCCTCTGCTTCGAGCTCTGCCTCTCCCTCCCCTGCCTTGCAGCCTGTTCCTACTCCTGCTCTCGCTGTCCCCGGGCCGTCTGCTCCCATACACTTGCTGGAGTCCTACTTTGGTATCGCTCCAGACCTTGAAG